CACAATCCGAATTTGAATTTGACACTGAGGACACGCTCAGTTCTGATGATAAAATGAATGTTGATGTAGAGCCGCTTGTAGAAACTGAATCGTTATTAGTGTTTTCTTCCAACCGCATTTCCTTCGGAGCCCTTTTCTTAAAAGGACATTTTCTTTTTTTTCCAGTATTTGGGATTGGCAAGTCTTCACTTGTACACTGTACTCCCTTGCTACGGATATTAGCCTTAAATACAACTTGAACGCCCATATCTTTAAACTTTGGTTCCATTTCCACCACATTTTCCTGCTCGACGATCTCATCCTGAATAGATGCTTTAGAAAGTAATAAATTACTAATTATGGATTTTTGTTCTTTTTTTTGCAAAACCCTTGATGGTTTCGACTTGTGTGTATTGACTCGACTTTTTTGGCAATCAAAAAACCTTGGTACTACTTTTGGCTCGAGTCTAATATTTCCCTTTTTCATCGTTTTTATGTACATATAATTTTCTATGTCTTCTTTTATCTAAAATAGGATAGGTATAAATGAATTTCTGCTATCACATTGGCATGTTAAGAATTAAACTTACATCAAAATGATCTTCACAGCAATGAACGTGGGATTTGTCGGAAACAAAAACATCTCGGCGCATAGCTTTTTGCCAAAGCTTTCTAGTAACAGGATCATAAGGCATGCATGCTGATAAAAAGCTTTTCTGGGGCATTTTCGGAAGTGTTAGGACACTCCGGAACCACACAATATTTTCTAGAACCTTTATTATCACTCATATTAAATAAGATAAACACAAAAATCACAATATAAATATAAACGCAGTTTGTAAACATAAACACAATAAACGCTTGTATCTCAACTGTCGCACGGCACGATCAGCAGCTGCATAGTGACGTCACACGAAGCTCCGCCCCTTTTTCGCGCGGTCCAACTTTCTTAATTTATTTAAGGGCCTAAATGTTGAAATAAAAATCTAAAAATTTGGAGAATGACTTAAAAAGTGTTCCACTTTCGATTTATAAAATAAAAAAAAAATGTTGAACGAGCCCATTCGAGACGTGGTATGGTAAGTTTTTTAATTGGGCAAACTTTTGATTTTGCTGTGAGTAATCGCACTTTCCGTTCACCCTTTTCATTAATTGAACCTAAATAAACACATGCGCCATAAGCCTTTTCAGACGAATCGCTAAACCCAAATAAAATTACTTTATTTTGAGAAATTTGTACCACCTGTCTGGAAATTCTTATGTCATTTAATAAAGGTAACTCCTTCACAAAGTTTAACCATGATTCTGTTAAATTTGGAGGAATTTCTTCATCCCAATCGAGCTTTAAATTCCAAATATTTTGAAGTAAAATTTTAGGTTTTATTAGACAAACACTAACTAGACCAAGCGGGTCAAATATTTGGGCTATCGTGGACAGAATAATACGTTTGGAAACTTTCTTGGGATTTATGTTTACTTTTATCGAGTATTTTAAAATATCTTCATCTGGAATCCAAGAAATACCTAAAGTTTTGAATTCTTTACTGACGTGGGGATGAATTAAGTTGTCATTGTTAATTTTATTTGCTTGCAAAATAAAGTCCAATATAGAAGTTTTGTTTGACGACCACTTCCTTAATTCAAATTTAGCTTGCAAAAAAATATCAGTTATTTCGCGGTAAATATCTAAGGCTTCTTCTTCTGAATTAACACTAACTAGAAGATCGTCCATATAAAAAGAATTTTCAATTATTTTACAAGTACGAGGATAAATGTCTTTATTATCTAAAGCGAGCTGCTTCAGACAACGTGTCGCGAGAAAAGGTGCACACGATGTGCCATAAGTCACTGTATTGAGCGTGAAAACTTTAAGTGATTCTTGAGGATTTTCGCGCCAAATAATTTGTTGAAAAGAACAATCGTCTGGATGTATTAGGATTTGCCTGAACATCATTTTGACGTCAGCATTGAGAACAACCTTTCGTAAACGTAGTCTTAATAAAATAGAGTAAAGATCATCTTGAACCGTGGGACCTGATAAAAAGATCGTTTAGAGACCTCCCTGTATCTGATTTTGCGGAAGCATCGAAAACCACTCGACACTTCGTGGTAACTGATGAATCTCTCAGAACAGCTGTGTGAGGTAGAAAAAATGACGTTCTCTCCTTAGAATTATCCAGTTCAAGATTACATTTTAAAGACATATGATTTAATTGATGATATTCTTGCATAAATTGAATATAACATTCCATTAAATTTTGGTTGTATCGAAAACGAGACTCTAATTTTTTGAATCTTTTCAAAGCCATAGATTTTGAATTGCCTAAAATTTCGCATTTACTTTCGGAAAACGGTAGTCGAACTACAAATCGACCATCTGAATTTCTGCTTGTGGTTTGCTGAAAATAATCTTCACAAAACTGAGACTCGCGTGACAAAATTTGAATTTGAGGTAACTCTTCGATTTGCCAGAATTTGTTTAACTTTTCGTTTAAATCATTATTTGACACCTGATTGATGAAATTGCATACTGATTTTTGAGAATTTATTTTGCCTGTACTTAAAGTTCCCGTTAAAATCCAACCTAAAGAAGTTTGCATTAAAACAGGTAGATTTTGACCTAATTTGATTTTTCCGTTCTCAATAAGTTCATAAAATATATTTGCACCCAACAATAAATCGATTTTCTTGGGTATATTAAAATTTTCATCAGCGAGGGGAATGTTTTTTGGCAAAGGGATTTGAATTTTTTGAAATCCAAATAACGGCAATTTTTCAGTAATAACTGGCAAAACTAAGAATGTTAATTTAGTTTGAAAATTAGTGAATCGCGATTTTATTTTAGCTTGAGTTTTTTCGTGAACATTCATTATTATTTGGTTTATACCTGCTAAAGGAGCGCGGATTTCTTCAGAATCCAACATCAGCCTTTCACGAAGTTCGCGGGTCATTAAATTGGATTGACTTCCAGAATCTAACAAAGTTACGCATTCATGCAACTTTCCAAATTTATCTTCGATTAACACCACAGCTGTAGATAGAAGAACTTGACTGGCATTTACATTAACAAACGATAATTCTGAAAAATTCGGTAAATGAGATGACATACAAACATTTTCATTGAAATTCTTATCCTTCACTGACTCAAACTCGTTACTTTGACCAGCTGCCGCGTCATAACGGTCGACTCTCATGTCCGCGCTTTCGTCTGTCATAATTGGAAATTTGTCGCGTAGTTCGTGAGCTATGAGGGTCGATGTTGCGACGTAGTCCTTTTTTTCTGAATTACTGGTGACTTTGGGCTTAAAAGGAGCAAAATTAGTTTTTGTTTGTGGATTATCTTCATGTAATAACGTGTTATGTTTTTGGGAACATTTTTTGCAAACACCTGAATTGCAATCATTTTTGAAATGACCTCGACGCAAACAATTACTACATAATTTATGTTGATGAATTATATTGTATTTTTCGTTTATTGATAAATTTGTGAAATTCGAGCATTGATAAATATAATGAGCTTCATTGCATATAGGACAAGCTAAATTGCCTGTTACTGTAAAACATTGTTGTGGTGATGATTTATTATTTCTGAATGAGAAGTTTGATGTGTGTTTTGAATTCAAGTTTCTGATGTTTTGTGTGTCGTGTATTTTTTGAGTTTTAGACGCTTCGTACTGCAATGCTTCGAGGGAAAAACACTTTTTACTTAAAAAGTCTGTTAATTGATTTAATGTGGGTAATTTGTCATCATCTTGTTTAACTTCCCATTCGCGTTTGGTTCTGTAATCAAGTTTGCTCAAAATAATCGGAATTAATAAAGCGTCCCAACTGTCCGTTGGTAAGCCTAACTTTTTCAGAGAGGTTAAATGCTGAAAAAGTAGATCTAACAATTTTCTCAAATTTGTGGAGGATTCTTTTTGAATATCTGGCAATTTAGAAAGTATGCTGTTGACGTGATGATTTACGATAGCACGTTTATTTTCATAACGTTTGTGCAGTATATCGAGAGCAATTTGATAATTACTCGCCGTAACTTCTAACGAGTCTATTAACCTGAGCGCGTCATCTTTGCAACAAACTTTTAAGTAAAGAAACTTGTCAACTTCACTTAAATTGCTTTGATTATGAACAATCGAATTAAAGATATCTTTGAAACTTAACCAAGTTTCATAGGTACCGTAAAAACTGGGAAGACCCATTGCTGGTAATTTGGCAACAGAACCTGAAGAAACTCCCAAGGTACCCACTGATGGCGATACTAGCGTCGTGCTTGCTTGTTTCACTGATTCAATGCACGATTTTGCAAAACCAATTACCTCATAAAACTCATTTTCGATGTCTAAACGGTTACTTTTTTCTGCCCTATCCAAGAATTCTAAACTGGTTTGTGTTTTATCAAATTCAAGAAAATCCTCTTGAACACTCTTCAAGCGGATTTCAACCTGAATTGAATTTTGATTATTTTTATCCGTGCTTAAAAAATCTTTGAAACGTTTCAACCTATCAATAATAACTTCTCGAGCATGTTTGAGTTGTGAATTTTCTTCCTCTGACTTTTTCGGTGGCATTTTGCTAATGAATCAGATCAAATGTACACTTGAATACGCAAAACCGTAATTATTTGATTAATGAACAAAAACCGCTGGTAAATCAGGTAAAAAGGTGAATGTCAAAAAAAAAATTGTCAAAAAATCGATATTTTTCCGTCAAAAACAAATTGAGGAATGCAATGCTTTTAAAATGTATGTTGTAGCGTGTGGAGCGTATGACAATAACTTGGAATGGACTCACGAGACTTGTACTTATTTTTCTTCCTGCGCGTTTCTTCACTGGCCAATTCAATATCCGGTTCGTTGGGACCAATCTTTTGTTTGAGCGTGTATTTCAAGTGGCGAAGGACCACCCTGTGCTCAGGGAAAACAGTGGACTGCAGACGAGCTTCTTAAATGTTTTATTAAAAAAAAATAATATAAAAAAATGCGTGGCAGCGAGCAAATTGACAAACGTGTTTCAAACTTTTTCTATTTTTTCAAAAAGGTGACGTCTACTTGTTTTTTATTTGCTTGGTTACTTCTGTTTTGTTTTTTCTTCTCCAGCTCTTGATTTTCTTTTTCATTAAATACCTACTAACCGGAACAATAGTCATTTGAAGGCTCGTTCGTAGGTGGATTCAAATCTACTTGCACAGGTTTTATATTCTCTAAGTTTTCTACTGATGATGATGTGGTAGTAGATGCTATTGATGCCAATGCTTCATCTACAATTCTCCGTTTGGCACAATGACATCTGTGTTTTGATGTCATTGGTTTGGCCCTATTTACAGATGTAGGCCTAGAAGGCTGAACACAAGCTCTTTTTCTGTCTGGCTTAGAATTAAAAATATGTGGTACAACACCAGGTTTCATTTTAATTTTTGTATTACCACCCATAAGCTTAAATTGAATATAGTTTTCCATATCTTCTTTTAACTGCAACAGAAAGAAAGAACTATAAGTAATAGATAGGTAAGTAATCGGTACTTATTCAAGGTATTATTAAACTAAATTTTAACATTCTCATATTAAGTGCCTAATTTTAAGGCAACTTTTTAATTAGTTTGAATTTGACTGCTTCGATAGTTTGAAAGAAGAATTAAACTAACGTAAAAAATTTTTCTTCGTGAAAAATCAACATTTTTGTTAGAAAATCTGTGCTTTTTACTAAGTATTTAATAGGGTAGTGGACAATTTTTTGAAATATTTTTTTTATTAATCTCCATAACAAAATAAATAGTAGTTGTTGATTCTTTGATTTCAGAAAACAAAAATATATCTAAAAAAAAATAAACAAATTTGTACTTATTTTAAACGCTATAATTTACCGCCCGGAAATTACGTCATAGCTGTTGTCTTATAGCGTCAAGGCATTCCGACATTAATTTAAAGTGGGCGAGAGCGCGGTCAGTGCGTCCTTATATTTTACATGCTTCTAGAAAAAGATGCAGATAAGCTCAGGGTGCATTGATTGACAAATGGAAATCTTTCAAAAAGTGGGGTTAAGTTGAGGGTGCGCCCGACAGACGCTGATATATCTCTCTTTTTTGCACTAATGAGTCAGTGTGTGTCGAATATAGGACGAAGGTTTGATTCATTTCATACTCAAATTCAGCAGCTATGACGTAGAATCAAGGCGCGAAATATTTTCGTTTAAATAGTGCGTCCCAAAACTGTACTTTAACAATCGTTTTAAACAAAGTTAGCAATTTTTTCTGAAATTTCTTCCAATAGAAATATTTTTCATTTACTCCATAGATGAACAATAGATCATGGAATTCATTGAAATTATACCTTGTCCACTACCCTATTGTCTACAATTTCATACCTACTCAAAAACATTGAAAATCCACGAAAAATATCTGCTCCAAATATTATGTAAATATGAAACCCCGGTTATGATATAAAATAAGTTTTGCCCAAAGTCTTAACGTTTGGTGTTACCCAGTTCTTACTTACTTACATTAAAATGGTCTTCGCATACGTAAACTCCTCCACTTTTCTCAGAAATATCCTCTGTATTTCTCCTGCATGCTGTACTCCATTTTTCTCGACGAGTTTGATTTGCAGAGTTTGGTAATCTTATAAAAATTTTAGACGGCATTTTTATCGCAGAGTTTATACACATTGGCACCAAACACGTTTTATACTTGGTTTTACCCATTTCTTCTCTAGTCCACAGAAACACAAAACGCAAATAATGAATAGGGAGAACCAATCTATACCTATCACACAAAATATTTACATAGAAATGGCAACTTATTCGTCACTGTCAATAAAATTTTGAATTTTGCTGCCCAGTGACGTCACTTTTTCGCGAGGTCGTTTTTAAGTGGCGATTTTTCGAGAGTAGCTTTAAATATTTATAAAAAATTAACGGTTGATTTTTAATGCTCGATATTTGGCATGACTGACATGAGTCTTTAGTGTAGTAGAACACATTTTAGAAATAAAAAAAAATGTGCAAGTTCCCTATTATGGCAGTTGTTGGAGAGCTCTCTTGTCTCATGTTGAAAAGCTCTCTTGTCTGAGCTCTCCAACAACTGCCATAGTTATTAAATTTAGGCCCAAAATTGAAATAGTATATTACATACCGAGTAGGGAAGTGTTTCATTACTGTCGAGAGATTTATATAGACTATTAATCTCGAGACAGAAATGAAAACTTTCCTCCGAGGTTTGTATACTATTTTATTTGCAAGCACACAATTAATTATTAGTCAATCAATTTTTTTAATCTTAAAAAAATAAAACAAACATGCCAAAATGTGTCATTCACTGCTTTGACGTTTTTACCTGACATGTTCTCATTGTTGCTAGCGGAGGTAAATAAATTAGAGTGAGGGAAATCGGTGAGGGAAGTCGAATAGGGAAATCGGTGAGGGAAATCGAAGAGGGAAGTGACACAGGTAAAGTGTCACTTCCAAATTTTTAAAAAGTCAGTAATGACAAGATTACATATATGATTGCAAATAATAGTTATTTATACACCAAGTGAGTTAAATGAATCTTTATTCATGAGAAGAAAGTTTAACCCACGAGCCCTAGCGAGTGGGTTAATTTTCTTCGAATGAATAAAGATTTTAACTCACGTGATGTTTACAAAATTTTATCCCATTTTGTGAAAATTTTAATTTTAGTAGAAGGAAAAATGCCGGGAGTGAGTTAAAAATATTTTAAATCACTGAGGTTTCAGATTTTTAGTTGGGCAGAGTGACTTAACATGCCGAGAGTGAGTTAAAATGTTTTTAAATCACTAAGGTGATAAACGTCTACTTACCTTTATTGTTATGCGTTCAATAATGTCATTTTTAAACGTCAAAATGGAATAAAAAATATTAACATTGACGTTGCTATTTATAGGTTTTGTGACTTTGTTTGTCGACTTTCTGTCAAAGTCAAGTTATAATGAAATCTTCTATTGAAAAATTACTTCCAGAGATACGTGAAATGCCATCTGCGATGTGATTGTGCCTTTAGAGCTTGGACAATAATACCTACGTGCCCTTTTACCCCTATATCTAACAAATAATTGAAAGGTATGTTTTGCTTTTCTATTTTCTTATTTATTCGTCAATAGAAAGTTAACTTGAAGTTTTAACATGTATCTAATAAAAAGTTTTTTTCGTATATTTTGTATTTTATTTTATGCCTAACCAAAAAAACTAACGTCCTTTTTATGTTACAATGTCATGTAACATCAACATTAAATAATAATATATGCAGGATATACCGAATACAAAATACAAGGGATGTTACAGATCTATGTCTCATAGGTATTGCGTGGTTACATATCCGTTACGTGTTAAAAAGCATGTATTCTCTATATTCTCGTGAAATACCCCGGCGATATTATATCTGAGTCATACCCTGAATGTTATTTTCTGCAGCGCAGTTGCGGAAATTCGGCTATCGCAGATATATCCATGTGATTTACAAAGTACATCACATGCTAGGTTTAACATCCCCAATTTTACGTAACTTCACATCACTGGTATGTGTCTGTGCTGGCTGGGTTCCTTGTAGATGGAAGCGAAATGCCGAGCAAACAAATTCACAATATTCTGACCGCTACCTGCGTTTTTGCCGTTATAATGCATGCTATTGGGATGAACCGAGGGATAAACACTCGACCTACAGAGACTATTTATATGTTTTTCAGAAGGAACCTGGGTTTTGTGCCAGATCAGAATTAATCGAGGAACTCAAAACTTTACAACTATCTCTTAAAGATGAAAGCTGAACAGAGTCCGCATGATAATGCGTTCTTTTGAATTTGGAATGGGCAATTTTTTTCTGAACAATTTGATGTTGAAGTTGCCGACTAAACCAGAATGGAAAATTAGTTGATCTAAAGCGCTTAACTGGGACAAATTTTTCCAGCGCAGAACAAAGAACATCATAATCATTAAAACTGTTTGGTATTGAATTAACTTGCTTAAGGTCCAGGTAATTACAACATGAGCACAGGAGACCAGCTAATGCAACTGACTCAGCTCCCACCACCCTTAAACCCTCCTCAGAATTCTTCTAGATTATAGGCAAGTTGAAGTCCCCACACATCAAAAGATCACAATTAGGATAATTTCCTGTTAGATCCGAAAGGACCGAAGTAAATTCCTCATAAACTGAGGTGGGTGATGATGAGGGAATATAAACCGCACCAAGAATCAGTCGTTTGGAGTCATAACCAATATGGAGAAATACATATGCTCCTGGGTCGAATCACTGGACTGTATAAGTTGAGCTTTATCAAGATATTATTGGAGCTACTTCAGAATCTTTCTTTCCATTACATCTGGCCATCTTCCTTATCCAGATTTATTTATGATTGATTAATTTTTGTTTTTTACTTCCACCTTCCACCTTCTTCCACAGTAGGATTTATTGAAGTTCCTCCAAGATCCTTTTTCATTATCCTCAACAAAATTTGTTAAAGGTGACTCTGGTTCAGAATTAGTTGCTCCACTTCTACATTTTTCTGCATCAAGACCTGTTGAAATTTCCTCATAATTTGTATTATATTTTTTCCTCGCTTATCAAGATTTATAACAGATCCCGTGAACTTTCTGTACCATTATGTGTATTTATTTACTGCTTGGAGTTATCTTCTTTTTCCAAAATTTTTCAAGATGCTCTTGGAGTTGGACGTCCATAACGTTCTTTTTTAGTAAACACGTCATTATATCACTAGAATCGTTATTGAGAAATTAATATGTAGATTGACAAAATTGTGCTGCTAACTCCTCAAATTATTACCATCCATCTTTTAAAACTAAATTACTGTTCATCATAATACCAATATATAATTCCCTTAAGATGCATCCAGCACGTGTCTGCCAACAATTCACAAATACACCCACTCTTCTCTAATAAATCTCCCAGACAAAAGAAGATAACTATTATAATGTAAAACTATCGCTCCAAACAATCTAGACCATGTCCGTCGCTTCCTCGATTGCCATTCAAATTGCATTAACACAAAATTTCCGTCTGGCATAATCATATTGTAAAACGGACATTTTTAAATAGGTAATTTTATTGTTTAGAAGGTAGGGTGTAGGCCGACAGTGGTGGTCAGCAATTTTTGCATTATAATAGAACCTCTGCCGTCAGTCTCGGTGTTTGGCGGTACCGTGTAATGTTTGAATTTGAAAAGGTGTGTGTTGTGACAATAATTGCGCGGCCTATTTCGAATTAAATTGTCATTATTCGGGACTTCGACATGGAACCGCCGAATATCAAAATTATACCAGCGACGCCGGAAACTGGTAAGTATACGTGCCAATTTGGCCTTTGTTGGTCATTTAGCTTATAAATTGGATTAGAGGCTGAAAAATATTCATTAGGGAAAGTAAGAAGTAGATCCAGTATGTACTTATGCTTATTATTGATTTTTTTAGCTGGGTACTTATACAGGGTGAGTTTTAAGTATGGAACGTCTATCTATCGATGTTCTCAATTGCGAGGTTCCATACTTCCCAAAACTCAGTATCTGTACCATGTATAATTAGGAATTTCGCTTTGGAACACGAATTTTCACCCATTATCAACCCCCTGTTTATCATTCTATAATTTCTGTGTATATGTCCAAAAGGCTCTTTAAAGTTTTTGTTGAATAAAGCCTTATTTCCGAAGGTTTGATTGATTGATGAGTTTCCCAGATTTCCTTTTGCAGTTGCTTGTTTCCATATGACTTCTGATACTATTATCAATTATGTTCTAATTAACTTTTTCACTATTTGGAATGCCACATTACATTCACTCAGATCAAGGATCCAGTTGAATGTCTACTGAAGAATCAAAATCATACTCACATACCAGAGAAATAGCTACAAGTCCATATAATCCAGAAGGTAATAATGGCCAAATACAATGTTACAAAATGGATTGGAATAATATGGAAGACTTTTACCTTGAGTAAAATCCCGAGAACTCAACATTCACCATTGGGAAGAAGTACTGTGAGAAGCTTATATTCACACTCCAATCGCTTTTTCATCTGTACAGCTATTAATTGTACTCCTTATGAGAGAAAATGTTCAGTCATCCAAGAAAATCAACGCATGGGAAAGCTATACCAATCTGGCCAGCTAATCTAGGACCTGTTCTTGTTCCAAGACAAGTATTGGGATGAAGCAAATATGAACAACTACAACTAGTAGAAGAAGCCGAACTTATAAAAGCTAATCCAATCTCGAGAATGCACTAATTCACTGATTCAGTTTTCGAATGACAGAGAAGCACCTTGCTTCAGAGGTAATCTTCAACCATTACAATAAAGAGAAGACACTTGATGTAAATATCAATTATGATGATCATCACTTGTAAAACTCCCAATTTGGAGAGATTATCACATCAAGAACATCATCATATCAGATTAGAGAGATTTCATCATCTACTCAAAATCAACAAGTCTAAAAGTGGAAACACGGGAAAGACCTACAACATTTCGAAGACCTCCAAAGTATTTAGAAAATTTAGGTTCAAAATAAGAAGAAAATGTTATGTAAATCTCTGAAACTGTACCCTATACGTTTGACCGATAGTGTAAATAGGTGTTTAGTTTAACTCATCATTTACCAACAAACATAAGGTTGTTAAAATTAGATTAGCTGTATCATTAAACCATTTTAAATTGCGTCGGTCACATTAATTTGTATGCTATCGTGTTCAGTGCCCTGTAAAACTATAATTTTTTCCCATTACATGGAATTTAATAATTGAATATATCGTACCGAGATCGACTAATTATCAATTAAATTTTAGCACAATTTACTTCGGGTTTTGCTACTAGAACAATGGCCGCAAATATTTAAATTGCGTTTCGTTTTAGTTTTTATGGAGGTTAATTGCAAAAGTGATGCTTTAGTGATTTGAATAATAAATAGGTGTAGGTACTTTCATTAAAAAATTTGTTTTATATTAGTCATTGATTTTATTTTACTTTTGTTGTTGAATTTTTCTGGGCATTTTTTTTTGATAAATTGGATGGACTTTAAAGCTGTTTTCCTAAACATGGAATCAGCGTTACATGTACCTTTATATAATACTTACTTATTCTCTAGGTTCTTCTTTGTAGGTACTTTTCTTGTTCACTCTTTGTAGTTTGAGAGTGTTTGTAGAACATTGCTGCAACCTTTTGTTGATTTTCCTGAGAAGAGCCCTCATCCATCTTTTCTACTTGTAATATCTTACAGATTAGGTAATTTTTTTCCATTTTCCAATAATTCAGACTTTGTGGGGAAGTCCGTCTTCTCTACATATTTCTACTTCATGATATCATCAGAAAGGACTGAACGAGGGAACAACAATCTTGATGTAATACTTCCTGTAGAGCTTCTACAGGAATATCAAAATAAATGTTGTCTGATGTTAATTTGTTATTATTCAGGATAAATCTACGTTTTTCTGGAAGGAAAATGTGAATCATGTTCTGTGTTTGGGATTTGGGTTTCAGTTTCTCCATATTTTACAGCATTCTTTTCAGTATATCATCACAATTTGATAAACAAAATGGATACCTACACTCTTAAGACCTGAACGATTCGACCCTGATCAAAACTCTTCAAAAGCTGCTTAAGAGTGGATTCACTGGGGTCGTATTTTCGAATATTCTCGCATAGGTACGAGATTTGATACGATTTCGAATGCTCCCCATTTAATTTACATTGCTGTCAGTCAAATTTCGGGTACGAAATGTATTCAAATGAATTCGAAAATACGACTCCTGGAAAGTCACTTTCAGCAATTTCATATATCATTCGGTAATAAGCTAGAAGATAATGGAAAACTAAAACTCTTGGTAAACTATGTAGTTCACAACAATACCGAGCACATATCCTGTTGTTCCTCTTTCAGAAGCTATTAAGATTTTGAATTCAATTTTCATTAGACCTAGAAATAAAATCTTTGCCAAACACTGCCTTACTTCCAGGAAGCAGCAGCCTGGAGAGTCTGTTAATCATTTACAAGCACTGCAACATCTAAGTGAGGACTTCAACTTCAAAGCTGGTCAGCGCTGAAGAGAGTCAAAACGACTTATTAGAGATTCTTCCATTAGTGGCTTAAGTTCTTTCCAAATCGGACAACAATTGTTGGAGAATACTACTCTGAAGCTTGATGAAGCCAAGAATCAAGCTCTATCTCTAGAATCGGCACAAAAACATTCAGAAGCATATAATCATCTCTCAATCAACATGTATACTGAATGGGGAAAACGTAGACTTTTCTCCTTTGTGCGGGACCTGAAAGTTTAACCTAATGCCTTATCAAAATTAAATTGAACGATGCTTTAGTAGATACAAGTAGCTCTGAAACATATTTAAATCAATATTTTGCGTCATTTATCGATGTACTTATACATCTATGTATTAGTTAGGTCTCAACAGCTTTACAGTCTCGAATATCAGGTCATTGCTTTGTAAATTTAGAAATGATGGAACATAAATACAGAAAAATACGTTTTTCAGTTCTTTCTGATTTATGTGCTGATGTCATTATAGGTCATGATATACCTACTTAGACAGCATTCAACCCTATTGAAGTATCTTTTGGAGGTTCCAAGTCTTCCTTGTCTATTGACCACTCCTCATCGATTTGTAGTTTGGCGTTCCTAAAAATTGAACCTCATACATTATTTTCAAATCTATAAGCCAATTGCAACAAAGTCAAGACGTTACTCATCAGAAGATATATAGACTGAAATAAGGAACCTTCTTTCAAATGAAATCATGGAAGACAGCGACTCTCCTTGGCGGGCGGGTACAGGCACAGGTGTTGGTAACAAAAAATGAAACGCACAAGAAAAGGATGGAGGTCGATTTCTTTCAAACCATTAACAGGTTTACATATTTAGATGCTTATCGTTTGCCTAATATTGAAGATATTGTTCGTGCTGCGGCAAAATTTGAGATGTTTAGTTATGGATTAACAAAGTGCGTCCAACCAAGTTACCATATGTCACGATGAAAGTAGTATACAACTTTTGAGACAGATGGTAAATAATATGTACCAGTTTTCAAGAATTCCTTTTGGCGTGGCAAACGGAGTTGCGGGTAATAGACTACATAAGTAATAAAATCAGAGAATCTTGAAGGTGTCTATACATTTAGATAATATTACCTACGATATGCGGTAGAAATTCAGCATACCATAATAAAAATCTGAAAAAAAAATGTATTCGTTGTAAAAAAATATATCTTCAACACAAACAAAAATCCCTGAAATCAGTCAAACTTTTTGGATATCTGATCGAAAATAATGCCTTGACACCTGATCCAATTAGATTTGAACCTCTACGAAAATTACCTGTAACTGCAGACTCTTAATGGATACCTTGGTTTTTAGAGAAAGTTTATCGATTTGTTCACTTCTTTGTTGTAAACCTTTTCCGTTGTCAGAAATCTGTGAGACTTCAATGAGGGAGAATGGAATTCCATTCCAGCCTATTTTTATATAAGGCCTATGGCGATATATTGAAAGAACCAATCTCAAAATTGATAAATATAAGGTGAAGGAAAGATATTTTCCATCAGATAAACCAAAAATGGGCTATATTACCTCAATCCAGAAAGTTGGCAATACAAGACTAGTCAGTGACTATAGATCTGTACCTAACTGTTCTGCCTGCTCTATTGATGTTTTTGGAAGAATAATGCATTCAAAAATAAACGAGCACATAAAAAGTATTATTGTACTTCAGCGGCATGGCTTTATATGGGACCGGTCTACGGTCTACGGTTACTAATCTATCCATAATGACCGAATACGTGGCTCATCATCTTGTATCAGGGCATCAAGTGGATGTTATATACAGGGCTTTCATTTCAAAACTTGCCACCCACGTTATCTGCGTAAAGACGCATATTTGCGGAAAACGCCGAGACACGTCAAGAAACTTATTGAGGGGAAGGGTTTTTACGTTAAACTGGACTTCGCCAACCCCCTAAGCCCTAGGGCTACCTCCACAAAATTTTCAAATGAGACAGGGGGTCGAGTGATAGGTTATTTTAAAGAGCTGTTCAATCTGTACAGTTTGCTGTCTTATTTTTAAAATTTGACCTCAGTGTTGCAACAACACACCCATTTCAATGTTTAAAAATGCCTATTTATCCTTAAACACACCTGCTGAATTACCTGTTGCTGTAATAAAAAGGTAGGTGAAGAAGCAGGTGTGTTTAAAAATAAATGGGCATTTTTAAACATTAAAATGGGTGTTATTCTGTAACACTGAGGCCAAATGCAGAAAATAGAACGGCAAAATGTACAG